GAAAGACGAGTGTCACAGGGACACTGTCCTGATGTCTATTTCGCAAAGACCAAGTTACCAGCATTAACTAGTTCAAAAAATGAAGTTTTGACTACCTATAATTTTGAAGGGCATATTTAAGATTAATCGTCAACTGTATTTTCACACAGAGTCATAATAGAAATTTATTGAATAATTAAAAGAAAAAATGATACTGACATCTCATTACTTCTATAGATGACGGGCTCCCAGATAAGGATATAGGAGATAAGCCAAGGCTATTATCCCTTATAGCATCTTTTAGGAGAGCTGAATTTTTCCATCCTTTTGATATATCCTTTTGTGTTTCAGCAGAGAAGGTGTTCTTTTGTTTCTTTGGAAGCTTCATGGTTTTGCTTCTGGAATGGATATTCTCCTCCTAAATGTATTGATAACTTTCAAATCATACTTGAATGCAAATAATTTATACTTAGACACATAAAACAAATTGTGCTGAAATACTAAATATCTTCTATTACTATTTACAGGCATAACAGGGGCCTCAATATGAGTAGTGAAGGGCTTTCTAATATATTAGAAGACATATGACAAATTCACAGGAAAATATAATACATGGACTATAATAGCTTAAGAAATACAAACAAAATGCTGTAAGGAGAAAATTATATTCAATTTGGGGAAACCAGAAAGAGTTCTTGGATTTCATGGTACCTGACATGCTTGGGAGTTGTAAATGCAGATGGTGAAGGAAGACCTCCTAAGGCCAGGGGACCCTGATAGAGCACAGGGGGTGGAGAGTCACGGGTCTCGTTGGGTATATGTGTTGCCAAAGCGAGCACGTCACAGGTCCCATTTGGGAGTCACAGGTTACTCCATCTGTTTCAGCTCTGGGTATATACCAGGGAACTGGGGAAATGAGCTTGCAGAGGTATTCTGATGCACTGAATATTTCACTATGTGGAGATTTTCAGGGTTTTTCTTTGAAGAGGGATAAGAGGAGAGGGGGCTTGGGAAGACTTAGCCAGCTATATGTATAGTAAAAGAAAGTAAGAAGTGATAGAAAATGTGGAGATAAGCTATAAAGTCCTTAAAATCATCTAAGCAAAGGGCAGCAAGGTTATAAACAGGGGAGGTGGAAGTTCAATGCTGGGAAATCAGAACAGTGTACCTTTATCTCTCTGAGCCTCAATTCCTCATTTGTAAAATGAGATGTCGATAGAGTACTAGTCACCTATGGTACTTAAGAGATTTTAAGCAGTTAAAGTACTTAGCATAGCACCTGGCACACTGTAAGCACTGGGTGGTGGTTTTGTTTTTTACTTTGTTAAAAAAGCTTTAAAGCACAGATGGCTACTGATGCATCTGTAACATTACAAGACAGAAACCAGGGATGGACCCAGGTGGGCAGTGAATGGGAAGAACCTCAGGTCCATTCAAGAGAAAGAGTCACAGCTTCCCAACAGTCTGTACTTTTCTGAAGTAAAATTTTGGAAAAATCAAGCATTTTTCTAATTCAAAGATATTATCTTCAAGTTATCATTTTCCTAGAGTCAAACATCTGTTTTGGAACATTAATGCCAACTTATCACAAAATTGCCTAAAGATCAATTTTCAGTCTATAAAATTTCTCATATAGAAGGTTAAATCTTAAAATGTGACAAATTTGACATTTCTGCAAAAATATATTCTATATTTAGTATTTTCACAGGCTTTTCAGAAATTTTTAACCTGAATTGTATCTATTTACCTTTACTAGCAATTTCTCTTTAAACGAATGTGAAAATTCTTGTTCACTCTCTGATTCTGAATTTGAAAGATCTTTATAATTTTTTTTGGTTTTTGCCGCTCTTCGTGGAAGTCTGGTTCTCCCATCTGGAACTGTCTCCTCTACCTTTTTGGTGATGTTTTTGTTGGGTGTCTTTAGGAGAAAAATTTCTGAATTATTAGATCAATATTTGAGATATAAGAAATACAAGCTATTTTCTATAAAATTGGCACTGTGACAAGAAATACATAAAATATTTGTAGGAATAAAAAAGATTCTTAACATTTTTAAAAGACGGGATTTTATCTTTCTGCCCAAATATCTTCTCTATACCTTTTTTTTATCCCTGTCATTAAAGCTCTGAGAGGCCTGGTATATATTACCTAACTTACATAAAAAAGAGGAGAGGAAAAAAAGAGAAGCAGAGATATGAAAAGTTCCTAAAACCACAGAATAAAATAGACCTAAAACAGGCCAACATGATCCAAAAAGGCAGAAGGTAGGAGGATGCATGCAAAGGTTAGAACAATTATAGAAAAACAAGTAACAATAAGGATAAAATTATGAGATGAAAAATGAATTTTTTTACATGACAGAAGAAAAATAATTTTAAAGTGATGTTTGAACACAAACTTCTTGGCTTTACCACTTTAGATCTTGGTTGTCCCCTTTCTAAAGATGATCCTGCAATTCAAGAAAATAAGTTTTTCAAATAGATAAGAACTGGCATTAAAATTTATTAGAATATTTTTGCATAGAAGTTAAAATCATAACAAGAATATATCTTTAAACTCATTCAAAAATTTAAATTACAAGATGATCTGAGGCTAAATTGACATTGATAACTTTATAATGTTTGGTAGGATATGAATTACCAGTTTCCTTTCTCCTCCTTTACATCCTAAAACTTTTTAAACATGCAAGAGAATACATAAGTTAGAAAGTGAACACCTATATACATCTACCATTCAATTTAAGAGCTGGATTATGAATAATTATGTATCCATTTATGTGTATTCTCTATGATGCTCAATATCCCCTCTGCCAAGAGGGAATATTTTCATTATCCTGAATTATTTCTCATTCACTTGGTCTTAAAGTTTTACTTCACAGATATATATCCCTAAACAATATAGTGAACTTTATAAGACAGTATCATCTCATAGGTAATATTCTATGATTTGCTTTATTTTTCACCATTGTTTCTAAGATTCATCCATATTTGCTGAGAATAGCTTTAGTTTCTATTCCCTTTTTTGCCTTTCAAGCACAATCAACTTTCTAAATATTCTCTGAAGCCTAAGAAATGGGATTATCCAAGCCAAGGAAGCAATGAAGTTCTGGGAGAAAGATCTTCCAATCCTGGCAATAAGCCAGCCCCTACATATTGACTTGTAGTCATTCAGCCATTTAAACAATTCACTCAGAGGTTCAATTTTAGAAGTATTTACTGATGACAGTATTCTACTCTCTGTTACAAATGACTGTAAACTCCCTGAGAGCATGTGAATCTTATGTTTCCCCTTGGCTTAGAAGACACTGCTTCAAAGTCCAGACACGTGACCAGATGCAGTACATCTTTCAGCATCTTCCCACAAGTCTGATCTGTGTTCCAAGTACCCCAATACTGCACTCCCTGCACTAGCACGTGATGCTCTTTCAGACTTGTCTCTTTTATAGATGATAATACTGCTGCTTCTCTTCCTCATATACAGGATAGGCTTCATCTGTTTTCAAGATTCAGCCTCATTTATGAACACATGCCAAACTTCATTTCCATATTTCTATTTTTACTTCTATTTAAGCCATCACTGGTCCCCCCGACACAAGCACAAATGTTATGACTGGTTATTTTTATCCTGACATAAAAAAGCTGATTCCCTTAAAATATGTATCAATTTAAAAGTTGATTCCCTTAAAATATATATCAATTTAAAAGTTCAGAGTTATGTTGTCTTCTTTTAAAAATGAAATATATGAAATCTTCGTGTTTTAGCAAACAATCCATTTTCCTGGATTAGGAAAATGCATTAGGTCTAGGTAAAAACCCATACCGCAAACTCTTATCCAACTACTTCAAGAGAGTCACTAGACAAAGCAGAAGCCATATGCTGGGAAGATAATCTGTGGAAGATTTAGGCAAAAATATTTCTGCAAGAAAATTGTTTTCCTTACAATATATCTTTATATGAATTCTATGTGAATTCCTAAAAAGTATATGCGTTGGGTATGACAGGAAATGGGATGTGCAAGATTTGATTTTTGCTTAGAGTGTTGGTTTCATGAATACTTAATAATACATCATTCATAATAATTGCTAAATAACTGAATCACAGCCATGAGTAGACAAACGAGAGTATGCATGAACCGAAAATATGACAATCATATTTTGTGTCTCTAAGACCCCAGTAAAAAAAATAATTTATATATAACCATATTACTAAAAATAATAAAACAAAAAACAAAACCACTGTGGTGGTGTGGTGTATTTGCTCTTCTTTTCTATTCACAAGGCTATGTAGTTATAAATACTAACTACATATACAAATATACTTATCAACCAACAAAACATTCCATATAGTTGAAATGGTAAAATCATTTGCAACATTTCTCTAAAAAGTGATTTCTTACTTGATTTCCCACTTTTAGGTTTCTTCACATTTTTATTTCTGCTATAGTCTACTAGCTGTGGTTTTGATTTTGGTTCCTTTAGCCAGCTAACATCAGTCTTGCTGTCATCACATCTGTATTCTGTGTCAGTATCACTAAAGAGATTTTTCTTTTTAGGATTTGTTACAATCTATAAAAAAAAAAAAAAATCCTTGTAATAGATGAAGAAATGTGTCTCATTATATACTATGCAAGGTAAGTTAAGCCAAAAAAAAAAACAACCCCAAAGAGCAGAAAAACTAACTTAATTTTTTGGCATACTAATTTACCTGGCATTAAGGAAAACATACCTAGAAAGTCTCTCAGAAATCCAGATCAGAGATTGAGATTCATAATTTGTTGTTGTTAAAACCACTTATGACCACAGAGACAAAAGCCGATGTCATCAAAGAAGATAACTAAAGCTATCATATCTTTTATTACTAGATGATTACAAATAGCTCAGAGACCATGCCAAAGTCATAGCAGGCACGTGGATAATCTCACAGAGGGGGAAAAATCCAAATAATTGTTTTCTAGATCTGTGATCATCTTTGGCATTGGAAAATTATTTTTAAAATAATTAGGATATAACTTACTCTTTTATCTGTTGTTTTGAGAGAAGTTTCAAGTTCATCATGATTCCTTAAACCTATCCTTAAACAAAAATATGCATTAATTTTAATTAACTTTATTATTTGCTCTCTTAAGGTAACATACACCGGACAGTTAGACCGGAGTTTTCAGCCTTGTTCTTTTACTAATTCACTATATAATTCTGGCCAAGTTGCTTATGCTCTCTGACCTCAGTTAATTGTAAAAATAACAAAGTCAGATGAAAGGACTAAGTCCTTTCAGCTTTATCATCTAAGAGACACAACTAATATTAAAAGTACATAGAATCCGCATATTAATTTTAGAAGCAAAGGCTGAAATATTAGAAATATAATGGGGGTAATCATGCCAGTAGCATTTTTATTCATTCTTCTCATATATTAAAAATTCTCAGACAAACTGGGAGGAAATATTGAAGAAAAAGAACAACTGAGAAGTTTATTTTAATTTGATACATCTAATTATTATAAAAGCACCTACAATTTTATTGAATTATCCAAACAGGCTTCTGTAGCTGTAGCTTGAAATTCCTGGATCTATATTGTGAATAAACATTAAAATTTTCTTAGTGTTGAAATAAGGCAAACAAAAATTAAAAAAATAAACATATAAAATCTGGTTTCTATTACTTCCTATCATAAGATGCATCTAATAAAATTAATTTTGCTAAAATATTTTTATATTTAAGAAGAAAGCTAATACTATAAAATATACTAAAAACATAATAAATAGGAGTAATTATTTTAAAATTTCTTATATCAAGAAGGAAAGTGATTTTCTTAATGTAGTAGTGTGAGTCCCCCCATAGCCCAATTACCCATTTTTCTCTACTTTAGTCCAAAGGATTTGAAAGGAAACCAAATATACCTAAGTTGGTGCCAAATAAATTCTAAAATATTTTAAAGCATATCTATAAGAGAATGGAAACCAAAAAACACACTGTAATAAACTATACAGTGAATACAAAATAAATACTAAATACAAAATACTGATTTCTAGCTTACTCCAAGTTTTATAATAGGCTCATCAGCTCCATTCAAATTAAAATTGTAAACATCATTCCTGTAAAAATGAAGAGAAATATTAACTCCATTATATAATAAATTTTCTTCAAATATGAATTAAACTAAGATCTATGGAAAATTACTTACAATGGGCATTCAGAAGTAACATTAACAAAAGTAGTCTTCAGTTGTCTATAACTTTTTTTCTGAACCTTTTCCTAAATACAAAAGAAGTTTATATAACATTCAAACTTGTACATTCGTATACTTGGCAAACAAACAACATATGCAATTACAGTTTCATATATTTTCTACTTGTTTCTACTCATGTTTTACATCTGTAATGATTTCCTTTTTTTTTTTTTTTAAAGATTTTATTTATTTATTTGACACAGAGAGAGAGAGAGCAAGAGAGAGAGAAAGAGAGAAAGAGCACAAGCAGGGGGAGCGGCAGGCAGAGGGGGAAGCAGGCCCCCACCGAGCAGGGATCCTGATGATGGACTCGATCCCGGGACTCTGGAATCATGACCTGAGCCGAAGGCAGTGGTTTAACCAACTGAGCCACTCAGGCGCCCCTGTAACGATTTCCTTAATGTAAACTGAATAAAAGTATTAAACATCCACACCTATAAAAATTTTGAAGACTTTAAGTACTAAGAGCATAATTGAAAGTACCATAAATCAAATATAAAATGTAAATATAAAATATAAAATTAAATATAAAATGTAAATATAAAATTAAATATAAAATATAAATTAAATATAAAATATAAAATCTAAGAGCATAATTGAAAGCACTGTAAATTACATCTTTATTTGCACTGACACTCCTGTACATAGGTAAATGCTATCCTACAAGCTGAACCTTAGTGATTTTAGAATCACAAAACAAGCACGTTTCTTTTCTTCCCAGACTCATTTGCTTTAAAATCGTAAATAGAAAAACTTTGGGAGAGACTAAGGTTTATGTAAAACCACTATTAATATCACTAAATGATTGATTACTGAACAGAAATACTCTGAAGTCTAATAAGTTGGAAATATTAAAACTATTCATTTTAGTTGTTATTCATATTAAATTTTACTATGTATTTTGGCTATTTTATATATAATTATTTGTATTATTTCAAAGTTTATCCCTTAATATATTATTCCTCTGATCACTTATCTCGGTTATCTTTTCCAATAGGATTTTTACTAGCATTTACATACACCTGTTCAATTCATCTCTTGTGTGTTAGCATGTGTTAGTATTACAGAAGACACCAAAAATAAGCCAAAATATTAAAAAGGATACCAAAGGGAGCGAAAGTGTTATACAGGATACAAAGATGATTCTAAGCAGAAACATGCTAATTAGAAGACACAGGAAAGATAAAAAGAACTGCAACAGTGAGTAAAATATCAAAAAATGGTACAAAGAAATCGGGTGTGTAGATTCAGAATTCTTGCCCATTTGGATTTTGAGTCAGGACACCTTGGAAGTTTTTAAAAAGAAGGCAGACTCTGAAGCAAGACTTGCAAGGAGGAATCAAGTTCTGATTACCAGAAAAGAATGTGAGAGCATGCTGACTCAGTTCAAATTTTTTTCTGAAGAGGGGAAGAAAAAGAGAATAAACACTTGGAAAAGACACTTCAGGGAAGCTCAAGTTCTTCTGCTTCAGCGAAAGGAGACGTGCATAGGGAGCTAATACTAGGAAATAAAGATGGACTTTTCTTTTTTTTTTTTTTAAAGATTTTATTTATTTATTTGACAGGGAGAGACACAGCGAGAGAGGAAACACAAGCAGGGGAAACGGGAGAGAGAGAAGCAGGCTTCCTGTGGAGCAGGGAGCCTGATGCGGGGCTCGATCCCAGGACACTGGGATCATGACCTGAGCCGAAGGCAGACGCTTAACAACTGAGCCACCCAGGTGCCCCAAAGATGGACTTTTCAAAGGGACTAGGAAGCCAGCCTGAGTCTCCACTTAGTAAGCAACAGGGACCAAAGAAGGAATTGGAACAAGAGAATGGCCTGACGGGAGCTTTAAAAAGAAAAAAAGCTTGTACTGAATAGAATGACAGCTTGGCAAGAGAAATACTAGAGGCAAAAAGAATTACATAAAGGCTATTGCAATAATCTAGGGACGAGAAATTAGAACTCAAACTAGGAAAAAGGAGTTGCATGGGCAGCAGAGGGGAGATTTAAGAGGAACATACAGAAGGTGAACCTCAAAACTTGAAATTAAAATGGATAGAAATTGTGAAGAAGAAATCAAAGATAATTGGTATTTTAAGCCTGAATAGTAATTTTTTTAAAAACAAAAAACAGAGACTTAAGGATCTTAATTGTCAGAAGAGATGGGATTAACTAGGGAAAAAAATGAAGATAAAGATTTATGAATCAGGTACCAGAAAATGAAAAGATCACACTCACATATGGAAAACAAACATTTCTTTTTGAAAAGCCGAACAGAAAGAGGACTATTTTGAGTAGTTGCCACTAAATTGTCGGTTGTTTATCCATTTATCAACATGCTGAAAACACTAATTCCACCCTATACTGTGATTCTATTTTATGTTTACAGTCAAATATCATATAGAGTTTGACTATACATTTGGTGTAGTTAAATAAATGAAACCTACCTTACTGAGCTGTAGATCAGATTTGTTTGAAAAACCACTATAAGAAAGGTTTTGTCAAAATTAAAAAAGCAATTCAGTATCAGAATATTCTTCATAAAAGCCTTTTTATATAAGGTAAGACATTTGGGTCACTAAGTTTACATTCAATATGCTATAAATATATATATAAATATTTTTGCAACTTCACTTGTAGCAAATAACAACACTAACTGTTAATAAGCTGAATCATTCATGCAGTAGGAGGTGCCAAGCAATTGGAAATGAATGGTTCTGCTGGGAGAAATTGTTTTGTGTCTTATCTTAAGGCCAGAATTAATTTAAATATGAATTAACCACCAATCAACCTGTAAAGAAACATTTTGCAATAAGAAAAGAACCTTCAGAAAGACTGCCAACGAAAAAATACATATTTACTATATAAAAGTAACTCATTTCAGTTCATTTAAATTTCATGTTTCATTAAGCAATATATTTAAATATATTTAGTTTTACTCATCACTAGGCTCAATAAATAAAATCCTAAAATGTCTATATCCTAAAGATTTATTTATGAAATGGTATGCTGTATCAATATGGTATTTTTGATACTTTATAAAATGTAATAATCACCTACTACAATGACTAATTTCAAAGTCAGTTCCCTTCCTGTATAATTTAAACAGCTACTATTTTTAAAAGTAAATAACTAGGTGTTTTCTACTGGAAAGTTGTATTACTTGAACATGTTCAAAACTAACCTTCTTAAAATGGTGTAAAATAATTTAGTTGTATGTCAGAAGAAAAATTATGTCTAAAATTTAAGAACATACCTGTCAATCAAAGACTCCTTGAATTTTCTTGTGGACTTTATGTCATCCTTTGGTTTATACCTCTTATTAATTTGGTTTATCAAGGATTCTGCTGCATCAGTAAATCCTTTCTCTTTTGACTTTCCTCTCTGAAACAATTTATAAGTTACTTTAAAGCTCTACCAGTAATCCTTCAAAGGAAAATAAAGGAACATTTAAGAAAAATCTGGTTCTATATATAACTACAAAGAGAAATAAAGGAGGTAAGAAATTATTTAGGAAGTCTGGGCTTTGTTAGGCATTAAACAACATAGGATAAGATTTAACAGTTTACAGAATGGTGCAGAGTGCTCTGTAGAGAACAAAATAAAAATTTCTATCCATGGGAAAAAAAATCGTATTAAAAACTAAAGGAAACTAAAATCAATACATCTCTAGCCAGGTTAGCTAAGGGAAAAAAAGAGAGAGAGAGAGAGAGAGAAAAGACAGGAATTACTACTATCAGAAATGAATTAGAGGCTGTCACTCTTATAGACATTAAAAGGTAAATAAAGGAATATTATGAACAACTCTTTGCCCACAAATTTGATAACCTAAATCAAATGGGCCAATTCCTTGAAAGGTAAAATCTACCAGAACTCATACAAGGAGAAATAGATCATCTGAATAGGACTATACCTATTAAAGAAATTGAATAATTAATACTTTTTTTTAAGATTTTATTTATTTGTCAGAGAGAGAGAGAGAGAGCACACAAGCAGGGGGAGCGTCAGGCAGAGGGAGAAGCAGACTCCCCGCTGAGCAAGGAGCCTGACGCGGGACTCAATCCCAGGGTCCTGGGATCATGACCTGAGCCAAAGGCAGCTGCTTAACTGACTTAGCCACCCAGGCGTCCCTAATTAATACCTTCTAAAACAGCAAGCACCAGGCCCCAGATGGGTTTACGGGTGAGTTCTATCAAATACTTAAGGAAGAATTATACCAATTTTCCACAATCATCCAGAAGATAGAATCAGAGGGAATACTTCCTAACTCATTAAATGAAGCTAGTATCATCTTTACACCAAAATCAAAGATAATACAAGATAGGAAATAGACCTTACGGACCACTATCTCTCATGAACATAGATAAAAAAATCAACAAAATATTAGCAAATTGTATTCAATAATGTTTAAAAAGAATTATATACCACAACTAAATGGTATTTATTCAAGGTATGAAAGTCTGATTCAACATTTGAAAATCAATCAACATAATGTATCATACCAACAGGCTAAAGAAAAATCATATAATCATATCAATAGATATAAGAAATGCATTTGACAAAACCCAATACCCTTTCATGATAACAATTCTCAGAAAACTAGGAATAGAAGGGAATGTCTTCAGCTTGATAAAGAACATCTTCCAAAAAAACAAAATTACAGCTAACATTATACTTAATGGAGAAAAACTACATGTTTTCCCACCAAGGTCAGAAACAAGGGAAAGATGCCGGCTCTCACCACTTCTATTCAACATCAAACTGGGAAGTCCTATGAATGCAGTAAGACAAGAGAAGGAAATAAATGGAATACAGAATGGAAAAAAATGAAACTGTCTTTGTTCGCAGATGACATCATTGTTTATGTAGAAAAAAATCTCAAAAAATTAACAAAAATACTCCTGGAACTAAAATAAGCAAATGTGATAGCACAGCTGAAGGATATAAGGTTAATATACAAAAGTTGATTGCTTTCTCATAAGCTAGTAATGAACAACCAGAGTTTGAAATTATATTCCATTTACATTAGTACTCCCCAAAATGGAATACTTAGGTATAAATCTAACAAAACATGTACAAGATCTATACATGACTAGTGAAGAAAATCAAAGACTAAATAAACAGAAGGAAATTCCACATTCATGATAGGAAGCTTAATACTGTCAAGATGTCAGTTCTTCCCAACTTGAACTACAGAATCCATGTAATCCTAATCAAAATCTCAGCAAGTTATTTTGTAGATATCAACAGAATGATTGTACAGTGTATATGGAGAAGCAAGACAACGAGAATAGCCAATATAGTATTGAAGAACAAAGTTGGAAGATTGACACTACCATACTTTAAGACTTACTATAAAGATACAATAATCAATATAGAGTGGTATTGGTGAAACAGACAAATAGAGTAATAAAACAAAACAGAGAGCAAACAGAAAGCCCAGAAATACCCTCATTTATATAGTCAACTGATCTTTGACAAAGAAGCAAAAGCAATGCAATGGAGAAAGGACAGTCTTTTCAACAAATGATGATGGAATAACTGGACATCCACATGCTAAAAAACAAAAAAACAAAAACACAGAACAAAAAACAAATCTAGACACAGAAATTACACCCTTCACAAAAAATTAACTCAAAAGGGATCATAAACCTAAAAGTAAAATGCAAACTATAAAACTCCTCGAAGATAACAGAGGAGAAAATCCTAGGTTGACTTTGGGTTTGGCAATGCCTTTTTATGTATAACACCAAAAGCACAATCTATGAAAGACAAAATTGAGAAGTAGAACTTCATTAAAATTAAAAACTTATGTTCTGTGAAAGCCACTGTTTCAAAAATAAAAAGGTGAGCCACAGACAGAAAGAAACTTTTTGTAAAACACATATCTGACAAAGGACTTGTACAGACATACTGCAGAGATCCTGTGGTTTTGGTTCTAGAACACAGTGATAAAGCAAATAATGCATTAAAGTGAGTCAAATGAACTGTTTCCCAGCACATATAAAAGTTACGCTTACTCTATGCTGTAGTCTGTTAAATGTACAATAGCATTATGTCTTAAAAAAAAGTACATACCTTAATTAAAAAATACTTTAATGCTAAAAAATGCTAATCATTTGAGCTTTAGCAAATTGTAATCTTTTTTCTGGTAGAGGGTCTTGCCTCAACGTTGATGCCTGCTGACTGATCAGGGTAGTGGTTGTTGAAGGCTGGGGTGGCTGTGGCAATTTCTTACAGTAAGACAACAATGAAATTTGCCACCATTGACTGACCTTTCCTTTCATGAGTGATTTCTGTGTAGCATGCAATGCTCTTTGATAGCATTTTACCCACAGCAGAACTTCTTTCAAAATTGAAGTCAAGCCTCTCAAACCCTGCCTATGTTTATCAACTAACTTTATGTAATATTCTAAATTCTTCACAGCATCTCCACCATGAGTAGATTCCATCTCAAGAAACCATGGTCTTTGCTCATCCATAAGAAGCAATTCCTCATCCATTAAAGTTTTATCATGAGATCACAGCAATTCAGTCCCATCTTCAGGCTCCACTTCTAATTCTAGTTCTCCCGTTGTTTCCACCACATCTGCAGCTACTTCCTCCACTGTAGTCTTGAACCCATCAAAGTCATCCATGAGGGTTGGAATCAACTCTTCCAAACTCCTGCTAATGTTGATATTTTGACCTCTTTCCATGAATCACTAAGGTTTTTTTTGGGCGGGGGAGAAGGGAGAGAGAATCCTAAGTACGGCTCCACGCCCAGCATGAAGCCCGACACGGGGCTCAACCTCATGACCCTCAGATCATGACCTGAGCCAAAATCAGAGTCGGATGCTTAACCAAATGAGTCAGCTGGGTGCCCCATTCACAAATGTTCTTAATGGTATCTAGAATGGTGAATCCTTTCCAGAGGCTTTCAATTTAGTTTGCCCAGCTTTATGATACGTATTTCTTAAATAGTAAGACTTGAAAGTAAAAATTACCCTTGGAGCCATGGGCTGCAGAATGGATGTTATGTTAGGAGGTATGAAAACATTAATTTCCCTGCATATCTCCATCAAAGCTCTTGAATGACCAGGGGCACTGTCAGTCAGAAGTAATATTTTAAAAACGAATCTTTTTTTCTGAGCAAATCTCAACAGTGGGCTTAAAATATTCAGCAAACCATGTTGTAAACAGATGTGCTGTCACACAGGCTTTGCTGTTTCATTTATAAAGCACTGGCAGAGTAGATTTAGCATAATTCTTAAGGCCCCTAGGATTTTCAGAATGGTTAATGAGCACCGGCTCTAACTTACAGTCACCAGCTGCATCAGCTCCTAACAAGAGAGTCAGACTGTCCTTTGAAGCTCTGATGCCAGGCACTGACTTATCTCCAGCTATGAAAGTCCTAGATGGATCTTCTTCCAATATATTGCCTACATTGAAAATCTCTTTAGTGTAGCCACCTTCATTAATTATCTTAGCTAGATCATCTGGATAACTTGCTGCTTCACCTTGCATTTTTATGTTATGGAGATGGCTTCTTTCCCTAAACTACATGACCCAGTCTCTGCTAGCTTCAGACTTTTCTTCTGCAGCTTCTTTACCTCTCTCAGCCTTCATAAAATTGAAGAGAGTTAGGGCCTTGCTCTTAAGTGGGCTTCGGCTTAAGAGAATTTTGTGGCTGGTTTGAGCTTCTATCCAGGCCACTCAAACTTCCTCCAGAACTAATAAAGCTGTTTCACAAGAGGCCGAGGTTTTTTGCTCATATCAGCTTTCTGCATGCCTTCCTCATTAACTTAATCATTTTTAACTTTTGACTTAAACTGAGAGATGTGTGACTCTTCCTTTCACTTGAACACTTAGAGGCCCCTGTAAGGTTGTTAACTGGCCTAATCTCAATATTGTTATGTCTCAGGGAACCGAGAGGCCTAAAGAGAGGAAGAGACATGAGGGAACTGCCAGGTGGCGGAGCAGTCAGAAAACACACATTTATTAAGTTTGCCATCCTATCGGTGCAGTCATGGTGCCTCAAAAAATTACAATAATAACATCAAAGAACACTGATTACAGATCACCTATAACTAATATAAAAATAATGAAAAACTTTGAAATATTATGAAAATCACCAGAATGTGACAGAGACATAAAGTTAGCAAATGTTGTTGGAAAAATGGCACCAATGCATTTGCCCAATACAGGGCTGCCACAAACCTTCCATTCATAAAAACACGCAGTATCTGTGAAGTGCAATAAAACATGGCATGCCTATATCTAAATTATACAAAGAACTGTTAATATTCGACAATAACAAAGAACCCAGTTAAAAAATGAGCAAAAGATCTGAATAGACAACTCACTAAAGAGGACATTCAGATGGTAAATAAAAATATAAAAGGATGCTCAAATTCATATGTCATTAGGGAATTGCAAATTAAAATGAGATGCCACCAAGCACACATAACAATAGCTAAGATCCAAGACGCTGACAACACCCAATATTGGCAAGGATATAGATCAACAGGAATTCTCTCATCTGTTGCTCAGAACGCAAAAATGGTACAGCCCTTTTTTCCACTTTTGGAAGACAGGAAGTTTCTTACAAAACTAAACACATTCTAACCATATGATCCAGCAATCATGCTCCTTGGTATTTTCCCAAGTGAGCTGGAAGATTATGTCCACATAAACCCTGCACAATGAACGTTTACAGAAGCTTTATTCATAACTGTCAAACCATAGAAACCAGCTAAGATGTCCTTCCATAGGTGAACATCTAAGCAAATCTTGGTACATACATATCATGGAATATTATTCAGCACTAAGAAGAAACGAGCTCTTAAGCCATGAAAACACATGGAGTGAGCATCATTGCTATTGCTAAGTGAAAGAAGCCAATCTGAAAAGACTACATACTATATGGTTCCAACTCTATGACATTCTGGAAAAGGCAAAACTACGGAGACAGTAAAAAGATCAGTGATTGCCAGGAGTGTGAGGGGGTAGGGAGCAGAGGGGAATTTTAGGGCAGTAAAACTATTATGTATGATAATGTAATAGTAAATACCTGTCGCTATATACCTATCAAAACATACAGAATATGTATACAACACAAAGGGTGAATTCTAACCTATAGACTTTAGTTAGTAATGTACTGATATTGGTTCATAATTTGTAACCCATGTACCCACTGATGTAAGATGCTAATAATGGGGAAACTAGGGTGTGGGTGAAGGGGATATGGGAACTCTCAGTGTACTTGTACACCTGAAACTGCTCTAAAAAATACTATTGTTTTAAGGGTGCCTGCCTGGCTCAGTCAGTGGATTGTGCAACTCTTGATCTCGGGATCATCAGTTCGAGCCCCACGTTTGGTGTTGGGATTACTTAAAAAAAAAAAAAAAGGTAAAAAATACTATTACTTTAAAAATGGAAGGACTACAAACAATTATCATCTGCATAATTTTCAGTAATTTAGCTAAGAGAAAACTCCCCACAATACTCTTAAAGATATGAGTTCTCCTGATTCTAGTCATTAGTTTTACCTTTTTCTGGGAATCAGGCATTTTTTTTTAAATTATGGTAAAATACAATAGAAACAAAAAATTTACTTTTTTTTTTGCAAGCAAGTCAAAGTGGGGGTAGGGAGGGTTGGGCAGAGGGAGAGGGAAAGAGAGAGAAAATCTCAAGCAGGCTCCACGCCCATCACAGAGCCCAATGCAGGGCTTGATCTCATGACCCTAAGATCATGACCTGAGTGGAAATTAAAAGTCAGATGCTTAACAGACTGAGCCATCCAGGTGCCCTGTTTTAATCATTTTTAAGTTTATGTTTTTATATGTAGTAGATCATAAGTTACTATTTACTGTCTCTTGAGATTACTTTACTTGGCTTGATAAAAATGTAGCAAAAACAGGGGCGCCTGGGTGGCTCAGATGGTTAAGCGTCTGCCTTCAGCTCAGGGCATGATCTCAGGGTCCTGGGATCAAGCCCCATATCAGGCTCCTGGCTCAGCGAGGAGTTTGCTTCTCCCTCTGCCTCTCTCCCCTGCTCATATTCCCTCTCTTTTTCTCTCTCTCTCTGTCACATGAATAAAAAAAAAATTTTTTTTAAATGTAGCGAAAATGAACCTCCCCTAAAATAGTGAGTGTATGATTTAAGAACTTCCAGCATAATTGGAGCCAACTTGGGAAATCTGTATCGCCACCGAGCTGCAGAGGTTCTGTTTCTCTGGGTTAATCTAGTGAACAGGAAGCAGGATCGGATGACTACCTTAGAGGAGAGTCATCATGCATGTGAGTGGCAGGAAGTCCCGTATAGTAACACAGGGAGCAACACTATGAAAGACTGAAGAGAACTTCTGGAAACAGGAAGTTGGGTTTTAAAAAATCAGAGCATAGTTTAGAAGAGATGATCAGTTTCCAGGGTCCCAGGAAAAAAAACACTGACTAGCTCAGGGAATAATTCTAAATTCCAAAGGAAACAGTTTAAAATAAAAATTGAAGAACATTCAACATTCAGACAAAAAGAACTTACTTCCCCTGCATCTGAAGAACTAAATAGCAGCTAAGACTAGAAAGAAAAGTAGCATACTAAGAAACAAGAAAAAGTGACTCAAAAGGATTTGGTTAAAGAAGAATGTAGTCAAATCAGGCACAGAAAGTGAATTGCAGATTAAAGACAAAATAAAAAGGATGGTCAAGACAAATGAAATAATGTCTAAGTATAAACAACAATTACAAATTATCTATTAAGTTTTTCATTTGCATATAGAGGTGCTCCAATACATGGACATTTTACATCAACTCTATGTCCAGGTATTAATACCACTCTGGAAGATATATGAAAATAGAAGGCTATAAGACCTGCATATTCTAAGCAAGAGTGAAAAACAGATTCTATTATTGGCAGTGGAATGTATTCTAATTAAAAAGTTTTCTTAATCTGCATCTTGATAGCAATGGCAAAAAAATATTTATGGTAACTACTAAAAAAAGTAAACTTTTGGTCTAAAGTATGGTGCAGACTAGCTAAAACTGTCCTAGAGATGTCCTACAGATGATTACTCTGAAGGAAAAGGGAAAGACTCCAACAGGGATGAGCAACAGGACAGCAGAAGACAGTCTCCTGCACTCCGCCTACATCTTTTCCTTTTCTTTGAAAAAACCTGTCAAACTCTAATGCAATAATCCAAGAAATGGTTTCAGATGCTACTATGTGCAGAACTGAGCTAGGCCATGCAGGAAAACAAATGATGAATAAACACAGTCTTTACACTCTAATAGGCTATAACAAGGAGAAAAATAGACACAAATAACCATTTATTAAAAGAAAGGTAAGCACTGTTAAGAGAGGTACAGACAGTTCTATATACATGCTCAAAGCATCTGCCGGACAGAGTGGAAGAAAACCATCAGGAGGACACAAGGAGCTGCAGGGTGCATTCACACCACACCTATTTACACACCTGCCCTGCACTGGTTCGGGGGTGGGGGGACAGGGACTAGGATGAGGTGAGAGAGTTCAGGAGGCACTCACTCTCAGACTGGAGACTTGAATTAAAGAACAAGGTCTCACAAATGTTAAATCTGCAGCAATCCATCAAGCTTCTTTCACTGTCTTATGCCATTAGGTAGGCATATTATAGGTATGCAGACACCAAACACAATGAAAGCTCACCATTTTTTTTTGTTTCAAATCCCAGGAATTAAGTTCAGATGTTAATCTTTTCCCTGCTTTTCTATGACTTTTCACATTTTTTCTAGGAGAAGGGCTTTTATCACAAATAGCAGTATTCACATCTTTTGACAGTATGTATTTCTTCCTATAGATCAGAGATTCTTCAACTGTCTTATTTAGGAGAACGGACTTAAAAGTAGTTGCAGATTCAATATGCCAATCACTTTGCTTGGTATTTTCAGTATTTTTCTGCTCCGAATGTTTAGCATGATTTAGTCGTTGCTGAGTGTCTCTTTTGCACACTCCTACTTTTGCTTTCTCTATTTTGTTATGCTGCATTGTTTTTTTCTTATATTGCATCTTTTCTGTTTCTTCAGAATTATCCTCAGATATTGAAGAGGATGATTTTTGTTTCCTAAGTTTTTTGTTCACAGTAACATCTAATGGAAAAATAAAAACCAATCCTTATTAAATAAACTGGTAATACATAAATTTGTTAAAATCAAAGATATTTATTAGACATTGCAAGAAATGAGTATTTCCCTGAGCTACTATTGTGTACAGAGAAAACAATGTTTCACCTTGACTGAATATGTCTCCTGATGAAGTATCTGCTCTTTGGTTATTACATAGATTAATATTTGTTACAGGAGTCCAACAGGACCATTTGGAGGGCATTTTTCCCCCACAGATGTTGTCCAAAACACCACGTAACCTGGAAAATAAAATAACTTGCTTAATGTATTACAAAACATTAGCCTATGACTCTGACATGAGACCTTGATTTTTTTTTTTTTTAGTCAATGTTTATTGATAGCAGTTCATTAGTCAAGTATGAAAATATTTTGGTAAGTCATTAGGAAAGTTAAAACTTACTATGTAACTGATCAGATTAAAAACTATTATTAAAAAATTCCATTATTGCTATTATTTGATATCTACTTAAATATATCTCACATATCTTACATGTTCTACTGTGTATTTAAACTAGGTTAAATTTCTTCACATTCATACTTTATTATTTTAAAAATCTCATTTTAAGTCTCTCAATTTGGAAAAGAGTAATGTTGGTGGCTATGAAAAAAACACAGACTATTCCCCATTGTGCAATCATAGTAATACTTGAGCTGATTACTGTGAGAGCCAATACTACATTCTAAGAATATAAAAGCCTTTTCTTTTAAATGTATTACATTTATATAAAAACAACATTAATATATACTAACTTATTTGATGGTTTTGTTCATACTTACACAGGTTTATCTATTTTCTCCACTGCTTGGGAATCTGGAACGATATCCTGCAGGTCATCTAAATAAAATAAAAATTATGGCATTTTCAATTTTTTGTGCAGTTGGCAGGGTAAAATGGGAGTTGGTATAGAAGTTGATCAAGATTCACATTATTAGGATACAGAGATTGATCTTCTTGGAAATAGAGATTGTATTATATTTCCTTGTAACCTCTAAGTTCCTTTCATAAAGCCATATGCATTCATTCTAAATCTTTCTTTTTCAAATCAATGAAAGCCAGTGGAGTTAAAGGGAAATATGAAGTGTATACATTTTTTAAAAGAGAAGGTGAAATTAAACCAAAAAAGTACTTACTCATATTTTGGTTTGGGAATTCAACAACCTTATTTTCTGTCTTCTTTACAACTTTAGCCATTTTGATATGCTATAACACAGAGGAGACATGGTAATGTAAATTTAAATCAAGGCATTACATGAAAACAACTCTTAAAAGTCAGAGTATTAAAGTTTAAAACCTTTAAAATAATTTGCCTTGCTATTAAAAGTTGGATAGTATTTCTATTGTTTCATAAAGGTTATGCCCATTCCAGAATGCTACTTACTCTAAAACATAAGAAAATAATTTTCATTACAGACAAGGCAGAAGAGCCTACAAACTTTCTGATCTCATCCACAGCTAGTACAATAATTCCATTCTCATCTGTAACTGACAATTTCTAGAATCACCGTGGCACATCTCCTACTGCAGCTGATCTCACAGCCTGCATTTATTCTGTCTTTTCACTAACATACACACAAGAGTTGGAAATTCTAGAATATTAAAGGATTCTGTAAAGTTGTGGCCACTGAACAGGTAACTTCTTGCCTCCACCAAGGTTCCCTCTTTTCATAGCCACAGATCTGATAACAATCTGCCATCACTCAGAAACACACGCCCTCTGGGCTAAGACACAGTCCCTCATGCTGGCTGTCTTCACTACTTGGTCTAGCAGGCAGTTCTCCATCCCAGGACAGGAGCAGTAGGAAAGCATGCAGGTATGTGTTGGCTGTCACGACGACAGAAGGGCTCCCTGACTGGAACAAGCAAGCCCGGGTCTGGGATGCCCACCATCCTACCACACTCAGGACCACACCACACCACTGAACAACAGCACCCTAATAAAGGAACACTCAGCTGATTAATTTGAACAATTACTTTTGACTTTTTTTCCAAGTATCTTCAACTCTTGCACCATTCATCCTTTGGCCACATAACCATTTTTTTAAAATCCACCACCTATTCCTTTTTACTGTGCTTTGTTGGAGAAAAATGACACATAAAATTCACAGTCTTAAATTGAAAGGGCCTTCAACCTAACACCTTTACTTACTCTTCATTATCCTTCACTTACCCTCCCCATTATCTTAGTAACTGTTTCAAGTCTTTACACCCTTGAGCCCTCTACTTCAGCATATCGCCAAGACAAATTCACCATGTTCACCTCATACTTCAATGAAAACAAAAGCTGTTAGGCATTTCTCATCAACAAACTTACTTATCTGTATCTCTGACTACCTCACCTCACAAAGAAATAATTTTCTCTCAGCTGTTCTCTGTTCTGTCCCTTCAACTACCTGGAATGAATGCCCTTCTCCTTGATGTCCATTTGACTAACCTTTATTGATCCTTCAAAACCAACTCACTCTCCATCTCCTTAAGGAGCATCTCCTGATCTTCACCCTCCCCTCCAGCTCTGCGGTTAGGCACTGCCCCTCCACTAGGTTCCTACTGCATCTTATATGTACAATCTGAGAACATTTATACAATATTATAATTATCTTATTAATTTAATTTCCACACTAGAACTTTGAGATACTTAAGGACAGAGTCCATGTGTATCTTACATTTCTAGCAGACACTAACTTGTATAATAAACTAAAGAATGATGGCAAGTCCATTTCTCCTACTGAATACATAAATCAGAGTTATACTGAAGGGATATTCCTCAATTTTACTGTTAGCACAGTAAGTAGGTCCTGTCAGAAGGAACTGACTTTCAAAAACAATAAATCATACATGTACACATGTATGTATATATATATATATATGTATGTATATATATATATGTGTGTGTGTGTGTGTGTGTGTGATGGTACTTTAAACAAAGTGAGGCCCTCACTGCTTGCAAAAGAAGTTAGCTCAATATGTATTTCTACAATAGATTGATAAAATTAATTTTTAAAAATGTTTTCAAAGTAAATTACTTTGTCTGTATTATCTCCACTATTTCTTCCTTCAGATGGTCTAGATATAAGAAATACAGCATTATCCACTCCACTTTCTGATGTTTTAGGTGTATCAGGTTTTTCTGCAGAACTCATCATTTGCAGTGGTGGTTTAATTCTTCCTCTTCGTGGTGTTGCTAAAAAGGAGGACAAAGGACTGTAATATTTATAGGGCTTCTAAAATTACATATTGCTATTATTGAGGTACTTTTTAGATGAGGAAGGTAAAAAAGGGAGGTGCTAGGATGGGTCCCAGGTTTCTGGTTTAGATGAATAAAGCATACAGATGCCATTTACCAAGGTAAGAAAGAGACAAAAAACTGGCAGAGAGGGTGGAAAGATGAATTTATTGTGAAGCCTACCAGACATTAAGTAACTATCCAGTAGGCAATTGGATTTTGGAAACAGAAGGTCACTATTAAATTGTCATATATACTAAATAAGACTGTGCTTTATAGCAGCTAGTATGTAGTATTTTTTTTTATTTGTATTTAGTCCTTAGTATGTACCAGGCACTGTCTAAATGTTTCATAATATTTCTCATTGAGTGAATGAATGATTTTTATTTAGTCTTCTAAACACCTTGATGAGATAGACACTTTAGTTCCATTTTATAAAAAGAAAACCGGTTCTAAACTTAACTAGAGGATAATCTGTACAAAGTACACACCTGGGGGTAGGGAAATAAGCCCAAGCATCCTGATTAATTCAATGTTCTATCCACTATGTTACAGCTGACTCTCAAATTACAATAAGTTATTAATGCTGGGTATTAATACTTTGAATAATGTTTACATGTTAATAACCAATATACCTTTCATAGAAATTTGAAATTTCTTGACAATTAGAAGACATTTGTGGTTCATATCTTAATAATTTCTATATCTCCAACTTATCCTCTATGTAAATTATGCCCAGAATATCTCTGAATTAAAAAATGTTGATTTTAAAAATGTTTGTTAAAAGTCTTTTAAGACTATAAAACTTACATGTGTTGATTAAAAGAATTGGACTTCTCACAGTGTATCTGTCTGCACCAGGAACAATCATTGATGCTTCAGACATTTTTCTTTTGCTAGGAGTAATTATCTGAAACCACAAGAAGCAGCCACAGTAAACACACATTCTGTTTTGAAATTAAATATTCTGTAATTTTATCCATAGCATTTTACCTTGACTACACACAAAGGACATATGGTACTTCTTTAAAAGATTTTATTTATTCACTTCAGAGATAGATGGAGAGAGCAAGAGAGAAAGCACAAGCAGCGGGGAGAGCAGAGAGAAAGGAACAAGGAGACTCCATGCTGAGCACAGAGCACCACCTGGGGCTCAAACCCAGGATCTTGAGATCATGACCTGGGCCAAAACCAAGAGTTGGATGCTCAACCAACTGTGCCACCCAGGTGCCCTGATATACGGTATTTTATAAACCACATGATAACCAAAAATTTCTGTGTTTTAGGCTGACTTGAAAGGTTTTACCCTAATATTTAGTATTGAATAGGTAGCCAAAACTTGTTTTAAAAAGTATTTCTAAAGTCAAACAGAGAAAGACATGTATCATATGATCTCACTGATATGAGGAATTCTGAATCGCAGGAAACAAACTGAGGGTTGCTGGAGTGGGGGGTGGGGTGGG